CCGGAGCCCTGTAATGCCTGGTAGATACAACGGTACTATGATGTTCGTGATCGAATGTTGCAGAGCCGAAGTCGATGAGTCGCACGTCTGTATTGCGAATAACACGGTACTCAGATTTCTAAAATTCATTTTTAAAATACTGCCATATTCGAGTAAGAATGTGACTAGTAAAATGTATGATGCTACCAGAAAATCATATGACACAAACTCTATATGAAGGAGAACTATTCAAAGTGCAAATTCGCTATAAAAGTTAGTTATAGGCACCGAATAGAGAGCTGCACTCTCGAAGCGGCCGCCGAATGCTGTGGATTTAAATGGGTTTGCCTGCCGCCTGGAGGTCAGAAAAAACCTTCATGGTGGACACGAGAAGTAGAAATGGCACTAAAACAGAAGGCAGCGTTCAAAAAATGGCTTGGAAACAAAGGGCCTTCTATACGCATGCCATATGTCGCAGTACGCAAGGCGGCCGTGGAATTAGTGGCGAACGCCGAAACTGATTCCTGGGAGAAGTTCGGTGAGGTGTTGGAGTGTAATTTCCAGATGACAAACAAGATATTCTGACAGACCATCGGTCGGCTCAGAGGTGAAAAAAGGCAAGTGAAAGAGTCTAGAACGACAGGTCTGGACACCCCCAAGCGAGCAACCGCAGAAAGACTCGCCTGCAGACAAGCAGGTAACGATTATAACTATTTCTGTAGATCAAATTAGAGATGCTGTGAAAAACTTTAACAGTGGAAAGGCCGCTGGAATTGATGAAAACCGCTCTGAAATGCTCAAAACATTAAGCGAACAAGACATGTGCTGGCTCGCACATGTCTGTCCAAATGCAATGGCTAAGGGGTAGAACACCGCGGAATAGAGAACGGGGATTGTAGCCCTATTTAGGATGGAAAACCAGGAGTGTTGCAATTTTCGGGACATTACCTTATTCAGTCTCACAGGTCTGCTCAAACGGGCTAGGAAACGCCGCGGAATAAAAGACTGCAAGATAAATGAGTAGCGTGGATTCCGGCCCGGCCGAAGCACCTTTGGCCATATATTAGCCCTGTGCCAGAATGTTGAGAAATCGTGGGAGTTTGCCCATTCCGTGTACAAGTGCTTTGTTGACCTAAAAAAACCGGATACCGCGCAACAGTCTGTGAGCATGCCCGCGAACAGACGGGATAGATGGCCAGGAGCTAGGGGCCATCAAATCACTCTAATCTGATAACAGGTGCTGCGTCAGAGTAAAGGGCGCTAAGTCGAAGCCTTTGAGTGCTGGCACTGGTTTCTGCCAAAGCTGTGTCCTGGTCTCTCTCCTGTTTGTGTTGTACATGGGTAAGGTATCAGGAAAGTTCACCGACGGAAAGTTCAACGACAGGAAAATTCACCGATTTTACAATCGATCGCCGATAATTTATTTACGATGATCATAATACAGTATTATTTAAAAATTACATTTGAAAGATTATGTTCATGAGCAGAATACTTACCATAACATTACCTACTCACAGATAAATAAATTTATTTAATGCATCTATTTTGAAATGGCATATTTGAAAGATGAGTAATGAGCACAATAATTACCATGCTTAATCCTTATACTGCGACTGCGGGTATGGGATATTGCAACAAGCAAAACAGGTTCAACCTGATGCCTTCCCTGAAACAATTATGACCGATTTCGAAACCTGCCGCAGTCAGTGCTATTCGTCAAGAATTTCCAAGGGCTTGACATCGAGAATGTTTCTTGCATTTCTCGCAGTGTATATTCCAAGAATTCAGGCAGAAAATCTTCAAAAAAGGTTCGAAACTAACGTCGAATTTGTTATGAGAATGCGGCCGTTGTCTGCGTTGGTTTTTCCAAACAGAAGATGTGGTAGAAGCATTTTAGCTTCTTAGCGGTAGCGATGATAACATGTCTGAAGA